CATGTGACTTGTGGCAGAATATGTGATCCATTAGCATATACTACATTTGCAGCAATGAACTACTCTGCTAAAGAAACAAGGTTGTAGCTGTGCCTGAGTAAAGAGTAACTAGAGGCATTAAATTAAACAGTGTATTGCTAATACTGTCCAGCAAACACTGCAACTGTGCCAGACAGTTTGAGTTGGAGTGTATTTCCTAAAGCCTTTGTTATATGACCACCATGCTCTCTCATACCACCAGTCACATTCTATTTAGGTTTGAATTTATTATTGCCTGTGAGAAGCCTTTTAGTATTGTTTATTCAATTAGATTGTTTGGGAATTCTTATTCTGCTTCACTGGTTCTCAGATCATCAAATTAGCAATAAAAGGGACCGGGGTGGACTATGGCACTATACCCTCGAGAGGAAACACACTGAAGTGGCCACTACGGAGATATGGAGGTAGCCCGTCTGGCCACTCTAGAGATATGGGGGAGACCTAGCTGGACTACAATGGAGATATGGGGAAGAATGTTCTGGACCACTGTAAAGATATGGGCCATTGCAGAGACTGTTATGGAGATATGGGGAAGGTCTGGTTAGACCACTATAGAAATATGGAAGAGGTCTCTCAGGGCCTCTATGGTAATAAGGGGGAGGTAGTGCTTCAGAGTTTTAATGTTCTTTGTTCGTATAAAACTAAACCAACTGTCATGTTCCCATCTTACTAATTATTTTATTCAAATGCAAACAAAATAAACCCTTTTGTTCATTGAAAATTTGAAGTCCAGAGTGAGAAGATTGTATTCCCTGCATGCATTTCCAAGCTTAAAACAAACTTCTGCTTACTTATTTCATTTCCATCTTTGCTCTATTTATTTGCTAAAAGAGAAGAGAAATACTCACTAATTCTAGATATGTGAAGGATTGGAATCACTCCCATTCCTTCCATGGAAGGAGGCAGAGAGACAAACTATTGTGGGAAACCCTTGATACTGGAGGCTCCAAGAGAGATGCACTACTTGGCCAAAAGTCTGTTGATAATTGACCATCATACATATATAAGCTTGATGGACATTCCATTACAAAACCATGTACGTTCATATAGGATTATCTAATACCTTTTGTGGCTTCAACTGCTTCCTGTCTTGTGCAGAAACAGTCCACAAGATTTTGGAGTGTGTTTTGGGAAAGTGTGCTCATTCAGCCAAAGAACATTTGTGAGGTCAGGTACTGATGCTGAAAGAGAAGACCTGGCACACAATTGGCATTCCAGTTTATCCCAAAGGTGTCCTGTGGGGTTGAGGTCAAGGCAGGACATTTGAGTTCTTATGTATCAAACCATGTCTTTCTAAGGCTGGCTTCGTGCACAGGGGCACAGTTATGCTGGAGTGGAAAAGGTAATTCTCCAAACTGCTACCCCAAGGTTGGACAAATATCCAAAATATATTTGTAGACTGTGAAATTAGCAGTCCCTTTCACTGGAAACACCTGAACTCAATAACTATGAGGGTGTCCACAAAGTATGTGATGCTGTTGGGTGATTTAACCAACTGATATTAAGTCAAAACCCATTCAATTATAGATGGAAGCCAGATGTAAAACAAGTATTTTTTTACTGTTCTCCATAGGGTTTGTATTCTTAAAGTGGAACGTCACTCTTTCAACCAACATTGACTATTTTTAGTCCTTATGCTGCTAGCATCAGTATATAGATAGGAAGGTATATTATATTTTATTTTGTTTAAACTTTTGTATCCATTTCTTCAGTATCTTCCTGGTTTCTATTCATAGGAAAATTATGTCATACATCCCAGGAGTCTTCAAAGGGGGGGGGGGCTTTCTCTGCTAAGTACACCCTTCTGCCTATATGCCTGATTCACTGGCAGATGAATTCCAGGAAGTAAATTCTACATGAATCATCTGCCCTTACTTAAGATGGCCATGGCAAGAAATGCTAGGGAGTGTTTTTCTCGGAAAAAAGGAAACAAGGAGACAAGGATAGATGGGGAGGTTTGCTTTGAGTACTAAAAATTAATTAAATAGCATTTTTGTTTTGTGGTTTTCAGATACAGTGCAGATCCACTTTAATAACAGTTGAATGTGGCAGTTTGACTTGGGGGATGGGCCAACATTTAATAAGTGGACTTTGGATTTGGGTGTAAGGTCCACTTTAAATCTTTTGCTCACAAGAGATACAGTCACTCATTTGGTCCCAGGTTTAGATGAGGTTCGCTTTCCACCTCTCACCTAAGCATGGGAGAATGAGGTGCACTTCCAAAAACAATAACTATAGTATTACTGTAGAAGTGTCCAGGTAGGCCCGGAGCAAAAAAGTTAAAAAATAAGTGCAAGGACAGACATGACGGGGTGAATAGTGAGACAACTTAGGAAGGGTAGAAAGTGAAAGACGTTTTTTAAATTGAAAGTAGAGCTTACCTGATTGGAAGCGCCTGGTTTCTGGGAGGGGTCCCAGGAAGGTTGGGGGAAGTGTTGAGCCACAGGAGACCAGTCGACAAAATTACAGAAGAGGAGAAGCTTCCCACCCTCCCTCCCCATTGTTCTTGCTCTTGGGTTGTCAAGGCACCCTGGCGGTGGTTGGTCTTTGAAGGAGGAAAGAATTCTGAATATAGAATGGTTCAGGACCCATCGGTGGTATGGGGACCTCGGTATATTCCTGTTAATAAGGGGTTAACTCGGAATAGATAAAAATGGAGGTCACTGCAGATAAGTAGGATTATTTCTGAGCCAGTGTGTTGTGGCTGCGGATAAGTAGGATTGTCTTCGAGCCACTGGGTTGTGGCTGGGGGCCTAAGTTTAAGCAAAAAATTTTCCGCAAAAAGATAAGTTGGGGTTGTTGTCCTCAAAAGATCACTAATTTTTTTATCTGTTTCTATTTCAGGAATGTTATGTTATTTAAATTGAAATAATTTATTGGTTAATAAAAAGGCAGCTATGGCCTTTTTGACTCCAATCCTGGTTTGTGTTCCTTTATTAAATATCTGGGTTGGTGGAGGGGATGGCCTAGCAGGCTGGGTTTCAGGTTGGAAGGCATATATTCCACCCTTGTCATGTCTTGCAAACATCAAATGGAGTTAAATATCCACCATTCAGAACTATACTGGACTTATGCAACCTAAGTAAATGGCAAACACAGTGTACTTTCCTTTCAAGAAAATATAAGATGTCAGTCCGCTTGTCTGATACAGCACTTAATAGTTGCTAATGCCACTGATCTCATGAGAGAGTGGTGTATAGAGGATACTGGAGGATGAAAATACATATTCTACTCACAGATAATTCCATTTCAATGCATCCTTCAAACACCCTCACCTTGAGAGGCTATCTAGTTAGGAACACAAATTAAGGCTTGGCGTATGCCAACGTCAAGTCCTAAGGCTGACAAAGATAAAATGCATCTTTTTTAAATACGTGCATCCAGCCTGAAATCTGACATGCTTTTAGGATGCTCTTGGCATGCATTTGTGATACCTTATAATTTGATGTGTTTGTACAGCGGCTGTTACTTATAAATAAAGCTTGACTTTACAAGGTCATGCCAACAAAAGAACCTTAAACTCATGGCAAACATATTGCATTTGTGTGTTACATTTATAGTGCATTTCAGTTTACGTCAATACAAGAAAAAAAAATCAGATGGAACTTGACTTAAAGCCTAACTCCAACCAAACATTTTTTTTTGCATATTAGATAGAATAGGGAATGGTTGGAACTTCTCCTAAAGTAACAGTGAACTCTTCTTTATGAGAGATTGCGAGCAGGCAGGCTATTATTGCAGGAGATACAGTCAATGCCTCCACTGCATTGATATGCACTGACCTGCCTGCTTGCAGTGATCTCTGGCATGTGCTTAAAGCACCAGGTCAATCTCCATGCGCATGCGCAGGAGTGACGTCATCCCAAGCTGGCCAATGAAGATGGATGAAAACCAGCATGCAGGAGAAGATCCTGGTGCCAATGAGATTGCCACTGGAAAGATAAGTATTACCCTTTAGTTCTGCTTTAACTTCTTGTTGATATATGTGTCCTTTTTTGGGAGACAGACTCCTTGGGGGAGGTTTACTAAAGCTTGAGCACTCAGAATCTGGTGCAGCTGTGCATGGTAACCAATCAGCTTCTAACTTCAGCTTGCTCAATTAAGTTTTTACCATAAAACCTGGAAGCTGATTGGTTTCTATGCAGAGCTGCACCGGATTTTGCACTCTCCAGTTTCAGTAAATCGCCACCCTTGTTTTATTCTCAACATACACAACTACACAGTTGCACATAACAATGCTGCAGTAAATTCACTACTCACTGTGGAAAGAAGGTGATGGACTAGCAGATTCACCAGATATTTACTATGTGTTACATTTAGGAAATGTATGTTTATTTGGCATTTTATTTGGCTATTTTTTTACTTTTGAGTATAGCTGAACTTTAGGCAATACAGCTAGGCCACTTCTCTGTCCCCAGTTCATTTTTGTTCAGTAAAGGAGCAGCAGATGATCGTTTATGTCATTCTTCTGCTCTCTCTTCCTGTCAGTATGTTCCTCATCAGCACATAATCATGTAGCAGATCCAATTGCCCTCCCTTTCCCAGCTTGTGTATTTTGCCCATGTGATAACAAGAGGCCAATATCAAGTAAAATTCAGGTCTTTAACCGCTTCCCATCCGCCCATTGCACATAGACGGTGGACGGGCAGCTTTGTCGATGTGGGCTAATGTACCTGTACGTCAACCCGCATCAGTAGCTACTGTGTGGCTCACTGAGCATGCACCTAGGAACCCGCCTGGACACAGCGGATCACATTACCACTGTTTCCGGGTGATCACATGGTGTTTTACCATGTGATTTCTGTGACCAATCACAGCCCTCACATTGTTAACACTGTAAAGTGATAGTAAAGATCGCTTTTCTCTGCTCTCAGTGTGAGAGCAGAGAGAAGCAATCCTGCAGCCTGTGAGTGTACAGCAGCCTATCAGGCTGCATGTACACTCACAAACTGCAGTGCCAGCCACCCCAGTGCCCCAGTTTACTGCCACTGTGTCCGTGATCACTGTCCCAGAATATTTGTAATAAAGAATGCAGCATGTAGCCCCTGTCACCTGTTCCAGTGAGCAAAAAAACCCCCCCCATAAATCATACCAGTGTCCTGATCACCGCTATACCCCAAATCAATGCCCTGATCACCGCCATAACCCATACCAGCTCCCTGATCACCGCCATACCCCATACCAGCGCCCTGATCACCACCATACCAGCATTCTGATCACCGCCATACCCCATACCAGCACCCTGATCACCGCCATACCCTATACCAGCATCCTGATCACCCCATATGTCATACCAGCGTCCTGATCATCATCACCATACCCCATACCAGCGTCCTGATCACCACCATATCCCATACCAGCGTCCTGATCACCACCATATCCCATACCAGCATCCTGATCACCACCATACCTCATACCAGCATCCTGATCACCACCATACCTCATACCAGCATCCTGATCACCACCATATCCCATACCAGCATCCTGATCACCACCATACCTCATACCAGCATCCTGATCACCACCATATCCCATACCAGTATCCTGATTACCCTCCTACTCCATACCAGCGTCCTGATTACTGCCATACCAGGTGTCCTGATAACCACTATACCTCATGCTAATATCCTGATCACTGGCATACGTCATACCAGCATCTGGCATTTTAGGGTCTCAACTGATCAATTTTCTAAATATATATCCCATAGTTTGTAGTCTCTATAGCTTTCACACAGATTAAATAATATACACTGTTTTGGGTTATTTTTTACCCCAAAAATGAAGCAGAATACATTTTGCCCTAAATATTATAACAAAAACTAAGCAAAAAAATATATTTTTTTTAATTACTTTGCCATTTTTGCATTTATATAGCAAAAAACAAAAAAAACAGTGGTGATCAAAAGAAAGCTGTACCTGTTTCAAAAAAAAGGATCACAATTTCATATGGGTACAGTGTTGCATGACTGAGTAAATGTCACTCAAAGTGTGATAGTGCTGAAATCTGAAAATTGGCCTGGACTAGAAGGGGGTGAAAGTGTCCAGACTTGAAGTGGTTAACGTGGTGGTAAAACCTTATACCCAGCGAAGTGACTGGCCTCATGTGATACACAGAGATGAAACAAATCCTCCTACATATGTTAAGCCTGCTTATCTGCAGCCCTCTCATCTACAGCTTTCTAAAACACACAGATCAAAGGCTTATTCTCAGCTCCAGCAGGGAGGGAGCGGGGCTCTTTCGTCACACACTTCACATAGAGCAGAGAGCTGAGTGTAATCTGAGACCTGAATGGAGGAAAAGGACAACCCCACACACAGTCTTATAAGGAAACATGCACAGCTGAAGATGCCAATTACCTTCTGTGTGCTGAAGGCAGGGGACAGGGCTATCTCCTGAAATTATGTGGTGTCGGGATAACCTGTCAGAAGTGGCTCATGTAGATAACAAAAGAAAGAGAGAGGAGACAGAAATCACACTTGGTGCTTTTGGACTGAAGTTAGTACACATTATACTATATAAGAATATGCTTTGTTTAATTTTTTTCATTTCAGAGGTTCACAATCACTTTAAGATTAGTCACATTAAAAAATAAAAAAATAGATAGTTTTTTTGTGAATGCATAACTGCTTCGATTTGTGTTTTTTTTTTCATATCTACCTGAAGTTCAGCTATAAAACTAGGTATAAACAGGATTCTGAGCATTGTCTGAGTCCACCTGTCTTCTGCTGTGCACAGCCCATACAGGAGCCGGAGCTGTCCTACCACCCACTGCCTTCAGCATTCACTGAACTCTATGAGCTTAGCTCCCCAAGTGTGCACTGATGCCTAACTGTTTAATCAAGTGCAGTGCATAGCATCTGAACAGGACTTGATTTTAATCAGATGCTCTCAGCTAAATAAACACAGGTGTGCACCGCAGGAGTGCTGCTTATACATTTCAATGAACCCTAAAAACGGCAGGAGATCGGGGGGGGGGGGGGGAGCTGTTCTGGATCCCAATCAAGCTTCACAAAGTGCAGACAGGGTTCTGTCTTCGCTCAGAAGCCCAAGTACATCTTGTCTTTTGAAGGCTTTACATATATAATATCCCTGACCCAGCTCCACATTGGAGCTATACTCAAATATTAGCATAAAGCAAGCTATGATACCTTGGCCGATTCCTAACCACCACCACATTGCAAAAAAATACCAAATATTGTATAAAAGACTTCATGAAGAAATGCAAGGAAAATTGTCTATAAATCAAATGTCGATGACATTTCGTGGTACAGTCCCTTCTTCAAGGACTCCCAGTTTTTATTATCAGTTTTTAACCCTACAGTCCTGGCCGAAATTGTTGGCACCCTTGATATTTTTCCTGAAAATTAAGTATGTCACACACAAAAAGGTATTGCATTCACATGTTTTGCTATACACATGTTTATTCCCTTTGTATATTGGAACAAATTATAAAGCAGAGTGGCAGAAAAGCAAATATGACAAATGTCACCAAAACCCCAAAAATGGCAACAAAAGCTTATTGGCACCCTTAACATTAATATTTGGTTGCACACCCTTTGGAAAACATAACTGAAAAGTCGCTTCCCTATAACCATCAATAAGCTTCTGACACCTCTCACGGAATTTTAGGACACTCTCTCCTTTGCAAAACAGCTCCAGGTCTCTCTTATTGGCAAGGAACCAACCATTTCCCCAACAACAATCAATGGGATTTAGATATGGCTTCAGAACTCTCCAGCGCTTCTTTGCCATCCATTTCTGAGTGCTTTTTTGACGTAAGTTTGGGGTCATTGTCCTGCTGGAAGACCCAGGATCTTGGACGCAAACCCAGCTTTCTGTGCCCATAGATGTTCATGATGCCTTGCACACAAACCCAGTGCCAGAGGCAGCAAAACAACCCCATCCATTGAAAAGCCATATTTTACCGTAGGTACTGTGTTTTGTTCTTTGTAGGCCTCAATTCCGTTTTGTAAAATTAGAATGATGTGCTTTTACCCGAAAAGCTCTAGTCTTATAAAACAAGACGTTTTTCCAGAGGCTTTTGGCTTACTCAAGTTACATTTTGGCAAAGCTGTAGTCTTGCTTTTTTTTGTCTCTGTGTCAGCAGTGGGGTCCCAGGGTCTCCTGCCATAGCGTTAAAAGTCATCAATGTCGACGGCCAAAAAACTGATGTACCTGAGCCTCAGGACAATCGACTAGATTCAGGACAGCTTGAATTGTCTTTGGTACATGTTTGGGGCTGCTTATCCACATCATCCATATCTGCGTTTTTGCTAATATTACATCATTCTACATCACACCAAATTGCACAAAAATAACAAAAATGTTGCGCACTGTGTACAAAGGCAAATCTAGTTCTTGGAGATGGAAAAACCAGGAGATTGTTGATATTTTCACAAAATATAGGTCCTCAGACATTCTCGTCTCCTCTTTCTGTTGTCCATGCTTAGTGTGGCACAGACAGACACACAATGCAAGTGAACGTCTCTCCTTGTTTATCTGCTTTCAGGTGTGATTTCTATATTGCCCACACCTGTCGATTGCCCCAAGGTGAGTTTACGTTGTAACATACTTATTTATCCGCAGTGTGTGAAAGGCTTCAATACTTCAGGACTCCAGCCATTTTTTGGAGGTTTGTGTTGTGACATTATGTCGAATTTGCTTTTTTCCTCACCTTTTTTTTGTTTTGTCCCAATACACAAAAGGGAATAAACATGTGTATAAAAAACATGTGTTAATGCAATACGTTTCGTGAGAAATACATGATTATCCTGGAGAAATATCAAGGGTGCCAAAAATTTCGGCCATGACTGTAAATGTAAATAATAACATAGAAAAATGCACAGGGTTCTACGTAGACATATATACCAAACATTTATACAATATGTACAAATTAATTAAATTCAGATTAATTCAGATTGAAAAGGGTATCCTGACCATTTGGGGAAGAGAAAAAAACATGGGAAAAAGGGGAGAGAGAAAGAACATCAAGAAAAGTCAACACGCCCGCCAGACCAAACATGCATAAAAATGAATGTATGTGTTGTTTCATGCATGTTTGGTCTACGGGTGTGTTTGATTTTTCTTGAGGTTACCTCCCACCCTTTTCCCATGCTTTTTTATCCTCCCCAAATGGTCAAAATACCCTTTTCAAGACTGGATTAATTTGTACGTAATGTTCAAATGTTTGGTATATATCTATATAGACCCTATGCATTTTTATATGATGTATATTAACATTTATATGCTTTATTTGTAGTGTAGCACCCTCCTAGTTACACTAGCTAGATTCTTAATAGTTTGAGCTGAATAGAAGCTCAAGTGTAATAGCCAGAGGGGTCAAATTCTGGTCAGGGCTAAGAAAGTCTGCAGGCCAGCCCCTCTGGAATTTCCCCCTGCTCTGAGGCTTGCCGAGGAGGGCCTTGGAGGCAGTGGTGGATCTGAGGAGTGGTAGGCTGCACCTTTGAGGAACCTCAGCCAATTCCCAACAGGAGGCTTGGCAAGGGGCTGGACTCCCTTAAAAGGTGTTAGAGTCTGCTCAGTAGCAGGAATTGAACAGTCGAGTGGAAGAAGGAGAGAGGAAGCTGGAGGTGGAAGGCTGCCAGGAGACCTGCTGAGATGGGGCCTGCCTGCGAGCTTGAAGCTGGAAAGGAGGAAACCTCAGGACTTAATGATCTCTTGAGAGAGGACCACCTGTGTGGAAGGGAAGGAGCAGCCCAGCTGATGGCAGCCATTCCACAAGCAGTACAGGAGAGGATCACGTGCACCCCCTGGGCAGATAGGGGAAGGAGCACTCTGGTGGGAAACCAGATTAGTCTTCTGCCAGTCACTGTGCACCTTATTTAAGGGAACAGGAGCCAGATCCCCTCCTCAGGAAGAAAACCTTCAGATTACTGGATGAAGAGGAGTTAATCTAGAGTCTGGGGTAGTACATCTGGAGCTGCTGGTTTAGCACTCCAACAGAGACTGTGTGTCAGAGAGAAGAAGCTGTGAATAGTTCAGTAAGTTGTCTTCAGACTGAAGTTCCCTTGGGCATCCTATGCACCTCTTTTCCCTATCCAAGTTTAATCCCCTCAATAAAACAACAAAAACAAACGTTCAAGGCCTGATTTCTGTCTGTGGATGAAAGCTGTTTGTAAAATGCCAACTGACTGCCTGTGCAGGACTATAGGGGACCCAAATTCAACAGTAACCCAAAAGGGGATAGTGCTACGGTAGATAAAAAACTATGTAAAAGGCACCTGTCATGTGGAAAAAAAACAGCTCTAAAGAAGCAGCTGTGACTGTGAAATGCATTGATATTCTGATTTATGACAATTGCCATTACATTTTTTTATGTATATCTTTACAGGATTATACAGTTTGGGTTTTTAAATATTGTAATAAAAGTTGGTATTTTTTGGCAGTTTCGTGTGATGTAGAATTGTAATGCTGATTGGCCATCCTTGAACACCCTTTATACACAAATATATTTTTGTTGAAAGCCCATCAGTGACAGCTAACAAGCGGGCCAGAAAGACGCTAAAGTAGTTCAAGTTCAAGACAAGCAGTATGAGTAACAGCTGGCAACAGCACAAACAACAAGCAG